TTGAAACCTTTCCCTAGTTAAACCACAGTAATTTGTGGTGAAAAGCACAACTAAAGTGCTGTACCTCTTGTTAGTTTCCACACCACAACTGTTTTTTACTGAACCAATCCTTTAGATTCAATATTCATTCTCTTTTCTCCTACTGCCTGGTGGAAATTATAAGAAGTAATGAATTGCCTACAAGGCAGATAGAAGAATAAAGAAGGAAAAACAAAGTGCCCAGTAATCCACAAACTAGCTTCTCAATTCAGCATCTGAATAATGGAGTCAATAGTAATTTACCAGCTCAGAGCCTGGAGGAGAGTTGAAGCTTCATAAAGATATACCAAGAGATTCTCTAACTTCAGCTTGCTAAGACGATGCTCTTTATTCAGGAAAGTGCTATATTTCATTGCCTCTTCCTCCCTCCACCCACCTTCATTTTTCAGCTCTTTTGGGAACTATAACAAGCCAGGAAGTGGGCATATGTATGAAATGTTGCCTCCTGCTTTATGGTTCTATGAAGTCAGTGTCTGGCCTTCCTTGTTGGATTCCAGCAGCAACATCTATCAACATCAGAATTACCCTTTCCTCTGATACCAAACTCAGCCCCTCTTCTGCCTCAGCAGACTCTGCATGTGCTGTATGTTTAACACTGAAGTTTGACCACCATTTCTAAGACTAGTCATCAGAATGTAGTGAGGCAGGAGATCTTTATCTGTGTCTCACACTTGGATAGTGTGGAAAGGCAGAGTGCCTCTGTTTACTGAGCAGGTGTTATTTTGCATTCATCCTACAATGCAACTACTGCTTCTGACTTCTTTTCCCTCTGCCACTAATGGCATTTGCACCTCCTTAAGGCACTTTAACATTTTACCTGTTAGAAGTGTACATTTATCTCCTACTGGACTGTGAGGTTTTACAAGATCCATGCTCTAACCCTGGAACTCTGAAGCCAGAACTGTGAGCTTGTATTTATTTATTTATGACAGACTCTTACTTTGTCACCCTTGGTAGAGTGCCATGTTGTCATAGCTCACAGCAAACTTAAACTCTTGGGCTCAAGTAATTCTCTTGCCTTAGCCTCCCAAGTAGTTGGGATTACAGGCGCCTGCCACAATGCCTGGCTAGTTTTAGAGATGGGGTCTTGGTCTTGCTCAGGCTGGTCCCAAACTCCAGAGCTGCTAGGATTACAGGTGTGAGCCACTGTGGCACCTGGCAGGATTGTGAGAGCCTACCTTAAAGACAGGTATTTCTCTGCTGTTCATCTCTGTGGTCACTGTGTGCATAATGAACTGTCTGCCAAATGAACATGTGAAAGAATGACAGCAATGTTCTTCCAGGTACAGAGGCTTGAAGACCTAGATCATCTTTTACAACTCCTCTTTTTCATCCACATCTCATGGGTTGACAAGTCCTGTTTATTCTTCCTTCCTGTGCTATTTCTCACATTCTTTTTCAGTGCAACTGATACCACCTTTGGCTTCTAATTTCCTCTTTCTTTCTTTTTTTTTTTTTGGCCAGGGCTGGGTTTGAACCCACCACCTCTGGCATATGGGGCTGGCACCTTACTCATTTGAGCCACAGGCGCTGACCAATTTCCTCTTTCTTGAATGACTGAAATATCCTCCTAACTGATTTTCTGGGCCTAAACTTCCACTCTTTAATTCATTATGCAAACATCAGATTTTCGTAAAGTACTATTTTATTTATTTATTTTTTTTGAGGCAGAGTCTTACTATGTTGCCCTTGGTAGAGTGCCTTGGTGTCACGGCTCACAGCAACCTCAAACTCTTGGGCTTAAGCAATTCTCTTGACTTAGCCTCCCAAGTAGCTGGGACTACAGGTGCCCGCCACAATGCCTGGCTATTTTTTTTGCAGGTTTTTGCTAGGGCTGGGTTTGAACCCGCCACCTCCTGTATACGGGGCCAGCGTCCTACTCCTTTGAGCCACAGGTGCCACCCCCCTAGCTATTTGTTGTTGCTGTTGTCATTGTTGTTTAGCTGGCCTGGCCAGGTTCAAATCTGTCACTTTTAGTGCACATGGCTGACGCCGTAACCACTTTATGGGTGCCGAGCCCTAAAGTATTATTATTATTTTTTTTTGCAGTTTTTGGCCGGGACTGGGTTTGAACCCACCACCTGTGGCATATGGGGCTGGCGCCTTACTCCTTTGAGCCACAGCACCGCCCTAAAGTACTATTTTAATGTTAACACTTACCTGTTTAAAAATGTTCTGTAAAGTTGAAGCTACTCAGCAAGCATGATATTCAGGACCTTCCATGAGCCATTCCTGACCTACCTGACATTAGTTCTTTGCTCCAAGGTCCCTACTCATGGGAGTCTTCACAAAGGAGAAGTACAAGGCTGGGTACTGAGGCTCATGCCTGTAATCCTTGCATTCTGGGAGGCCGAGGTGGGTGGATTGCTGGAGTTCGAGACCAGCCTGAGCAAGGGTGAGACCCCGTCTCTGCTAAACATAGAAAAACTAGCAGGGGCATGGTGGTGGGTGCCTGTAGTCCCAGCTACTTGGGGTGGGGGGTGAGGCAAGAGGATGACTTGAGCCAAGAGAAAGAAGTATGAAAGATAAGTGCTATAGGCTGGATGCAGTGGCTCACACCTGTAATCCTAACACTCTGGGAGGCTGAAGCTAGAGGTTCACTTGAGCCCAGGAGTTTGAGGTTGGTGTGAGCTAGGCTGACACCACAACACTCTAGCCTGGGCAAGAAAATGAGACTCCACCTCAAAAAAAAAAAAAAAAAAGAAGATAATTGCTGTAATTTAGAGGTGGGGGAAGAAGTTAGTATAGACTGGGAAGAAGTTGAAGGTCCAGGATGGCTTTGTCAGGGAGGTCTGGGTTCACTTCTCTAAATACCACTTAGGTCCCGTTGCTTCTCAAACCCACAGCCTCTCTCCTCTCTCAGCCTGTACTCACTCAGGAAGGGTTATCACAGTAGGCAGTATGTAAGAGAGACTTTGTGGCATAAGGTCCAAATAGGTGAGAGGGAGGTGGGAAATGTGTTAGGAATAGAGTAAAAAGAGATTGTGATGGATGGATTTGGGTCTTAAACGACAGCTTGAGGCAGAAGAGGTAGTTTTTGATTTTATCTTGTAGCCCTTTAAGGTTTCTTAGCAGAAGAGATGGAGCATTTGAGTGATACCTTAGGAAAACACATCCCTATGGAGGATGAGATTAGAGTGGGAGACTGGAGGGTGTTCAAGTAGGAGGACGTTCAGCTGTCCAAATCTCTCTTGATAATGGCCTGGCCCAGGGGTGGCAATCCATATCTACATAGAGTCTAAGATTTAGTCTTTAGAAAGAGGACATATTCTGTTCTCTTCAGTAATGTTCCCAGGTGGTCTTACACAAAGGCAGGGAGAAGGATGGGTTGGACCTTGGCACACCCTCCTGATTTCTCCAGTCTTCTTGTGACATGTTTACACTTGCCCTTGCTGCTGAGATCCCAGCAGACTTTGATGGCACAGCCCCACCATCATAATGTCTGGAGGACCCAGGTACTTTTCTTTGTGTGTGGGTGTGATAGCACCACCTTGAACTGCAGTGTTTAATAAAATATACATATTCCATATGGTGCTAGAAGTAGTTGCAGCTTATCTCTCTGCCTCAGTATATATCAGCTTTCTTTTTTTTTTTTTTTTTTTTTTTGAGACAGAGCCTCAAGCTGTCCCCCTGGGTAGAGTACCGTGGCATTACAGCTCACAGCAACCTCCAACTCTTGGGCTCAAGCGAGTCTCTTGCCTCCACCTCCCAAGCAGCTGGGACCACAGGCGCCTGCCACAACGCCCGGCCATTTTTTGGTTGCAGCCGTCATTGTTGTTTGGCGGGTCCGGGCTGGGGATTCGAACCCGCCACCTTAGGTGTACGTGGCTGGCGCCTTAGCCGGTTGAGCTATAGGCGCCGAGCCATATCAGCTTTCTGAAGGACCAGCTGTCAGGGTCCTCCAGCCCCACCCTTGGTCCACACCCAGTTGGTCCAAGACTTTGATTCAATATGGGGTCAAGGTCAGTTGTTTCTCTTGCCCTGGAACTACAAACGGCTCTCTTGCCACTGTTAACTATTGGGCAGAAGAGAGACCAGGAGAGAGAGGGCTGCTAGATTCTTACGGCTACATCCTCAGAACTTTAATATAAGTTAAAGAAGCTATGCTGCCAGAGAGCTGTCAGGAACATCATCTCTGTGTGCAGGTAGAAGGACATATTTAAAAGTAGAGGAGATAACAAATGCAATCAGCGTAATCTGGTTTCTTGTACCCTCAATGAATTCCCAACAATAAAAAAAAATCAAAAAATCAAAAATCAATAAAAGCAGAGGAGAAAGAGTGCTCCAGATTCTATTTTCCCTCACTTCTCAGTGATCTGCCTTTCTGGAAGGCATCTGAGCGTCTTTCTCCTTCTCCCCATACGAAACTCTCTTGCTCTCTTCTCTTTTGTCCCTTGCCTCAGTCCGTTTTTCTTTTGCCATCTTGCCCTTGAGTTGAAAGTGTGACCTGAGCCTCAGAATTCCCTTCTTCCACACCTCGGAGAGTCTCCTGCCTCTGAGAATTTGCAGCACTCTTCTGACTGCATCAAAGCACCACTTGTCTTTACAGGGAAGGGCCTTTTTGTCTTGGCATGCCTAATGCCCTGCCCAGGAAACATGATAGGAGCCTAGCCCCCCTTCTTTCACACTGCCTGCTTTCCTTTAAGCTACTCCAGCCCCTGCCCCACTCCAGATAGCTGGAGGATGACAGGCAGGAGACTCTTTGGGTGACTCTCAGATGCATCATGGACAACAGAAGGTGAAGGTCTGATGGATAGGGCAGCGTCTTCCCAGTGCTGGGGACTCCCCTGCTCACATCGTCTGCCCCCTCAGCAGTCCTCTAAAGAGGAGGGGTCTGCTCTATCAGCCAATCCCAAGGCCTGATTTGAGTTTGGGAGAAAAGAAGCGCTGGCTCACATGTCTTTCTTGCTCGTTCTGGCTGCAGCCCAGCTTCTCTATTGCGTCCCTCTTTCCCCACCTGACCCCAGCCCCAAATCCCTGCCCTGCTTCTTCCAACCTTCACTCAGCCCCGGTGATGGCGCTGCAGGATGTGTGCAAGTGGCAGGTGCCTGACACCCAGAGACTATCACCTCACCTGCCCCAGTCTGCTGGCTGGGCTATGCCCCGGGGCTGTGATCCTCAAGCCTTTCTACAGATGCGTGGTCCCAGGCTGGCCCACGGCACCACCACACTGGCCTTCCGCTTTCAACATGGAGTCATAGCTGCAGCTGACACGCGTTCCTCCTGTGGCAGCTACGTGGCATGTCCAGCCTCGTGCAAGGTCATCCCTGTGCACCAGCACCTCCTAGGTACCACCTCTGGCACTTCTGCTGACTGTGCCACATGGTATCGGGTGCTGCAGCGGGAGCTTCGGCTTCGGGCACTGAGGGAGGGTCAATTGCCCAGTGTGGCCAGTGCTGCCAAGCTCTTGTCAGCCATGATGTCTCGGTACCGGGGGCTGGATCTGTGTGTGGCCACTGCCCTGTGTGGCTGGGACTGCTCTGGTCCTGCCCTCTTTTATGTCTACAGTGATGGCACCCGCCTGCAGGGAGACATCTTCTCCGTGGGCTCTGGATCTCCCTATGCCTACGGCGTGCTAGACCGTGGCTACCGTTACGACATGACCACCCAGGAAGCCTATGCCCTGGCTCGATGTGCTGTGGCCCATGCCACACACCGTGATGCTTATTCGGGGGGTTCTGTAGACCTTTTCCACGTGCGGGAGAGTGGATGGGAGTATGTGTCACGCAATGACGCCTGTGTGCTGTACAAAGAGCTGCAGGAGCTCCGGGAGCCAGCACTGGAAGAGGAGGCCTGCCAGGCCCATCCTGAGCCTGCCACTACCCACATATCTGGGGAAGATGGAGAGCTCTCTGCGGGGGCCAGGGAGGTGACACCAGGAGACTCCAAGATGCCAGCAGGCACTGAGGTGCTGTGAGAAGTGGCAGGACTTGAGGGGCTCCAGGACATGAGTGAGAGGAGGGGCAGCAGGGATGGGGGTCTGTTGGGAGCAGCCTCACAAGATCTGGTTCCAGCTTTATGAGTTGCCAGCTTCATTTGTTCCAAGTCTCTGTCCTTTCTGCCTCTCAGAACTATTGATGGCTTTTTCCAACAGGTTCTTGTTGATGCCCACTGGGTTGGGCCAGCTGCCTCCTGGGTACCACGTCTGTCTTTCAACAAACACGTGCAGTGTGTCTGCTGCATGCCAGATGCTGTGCTAGGTGCTAGACCCTATTTTCTTGCCATCTTCTTTTTTGCTTTTTTCTATCCCATCCCCACCCTATTTTAGTTTTAGTCCTTTGTCACAGCATTTCTTTTTCCTGGTGGCTTTTTCCCACTGGTGAAGTGGGATGGTGGGGAGAACAGCCCCTCTCCGGATGAGGAGGGAATGGTGGCCCAGCCTGATGTAGTAAGGGACCACACCTCCTGGTGTGCTGGCTTTTCTCTTCTGCCCTCCTCTGCCTTGACTGTAATGATAAGAATTAGTCCTTTACTGACAGCAATTCTTTTTTTTTTTTTTTTTTCCTTTGGAGACAGAGTTTCACTATGTTGCCCTTGATAGAGTGTCTTGGTGTCACAGCTCACAGCAACCTCCAACTTTTGGGGATTAAGCAATTCTCTTGCCTCAGCCTCTCAGGTAGCTGGGACTACAGGTGCCCGCCACAAAGCCTGGCTATTTTTTTGTTGTAGTTGTCATTGTTGTTTGGCAGGCCCAGGCCGATTCAAACCCACCAACCCAGAGCCCTAGCTGCTGAGCTACAGGCTCTGAGCCTACTGATGGCAGTTCTAATGACAACACTTTGAGGTAAATATTATCCTTCCTTCAGGTTCAAAGGGTTATGTGATGTGCCAGTGTCATATAGTAAGTGCCAGAGAAAAGGCTTAGAGCCAGGCCTTCCCCTCTAGAGCCTGTGCTCTGTAGGCTCCTGAGGCCCCTGCCCTGCCTTTCTGCTCTTCCCTGCAGGTTTCTGGGGAGTGATGTGGAGGGAGAGGGTAGCTGCGTAAAGCCTCTGCCGGGTGGCCAGGGATGAGTGACCCCTGAAGGATTGCAGGGGTGTGGTCAGGGAAGCCCCAGCATCTAGCCTTACCTTCCAGGCACAAAGATGGCCCCTATGGCCCTGCTGTCCAGCCCTCCAGGTCTGGGTTCCACTGCCAGACTTGGCCTCCTTTCTTCCTTTTGCCTTCTTTCCAGTCTGTCCTTCCTGATGCTGCCACTGAGAAGGAAGTAGCTATGCCAGGGGGAACTGTCTCCTGCCCATCTTGTCCCTATTCCAGCTTCCTTGGAAGCTCTGGCTTGGAGGCTGACAGCTTCAGTAGGGTTACTGCCCCTCTTTCTGGACCAAATGGGAGACAAAACGCCAGGAGGTGGGGCTGGAAGAACGTTACATCCCACATCCCAGTCCCAAGAATAACAGCCATTTGTCTTTCCTCCTGGAGACCTTCTCCCACCTCTACCCTGAGCCCTGAGCCCTGAGCCTGCATCCCAGGCTAAGAATTCTTCTAGCAGGAGCTGGCCAGATTGTGACCATCAGGGGATGACTGGGGAGGAGAGAGGAAAGGCCAGCCCCAGAAAGGACAGCAATGGGCACTTGTGGTAAGAAAGGGGACCACAGAAAGGTGCCCGATACCAAAGGACTGGGCTTCAAGCCAGGATCAAGGAGTCTGACCAGTGGCCTCCACAGCAACCTTCTTCTCCTTTTGCCCACTCTCCAGACTCAGTGGAGATGTAGAACTCTGAGATCCATAACCCAGGGTCACTTATGACCCCTGGGACAGCCTAGTTCGGGAGGAACATGTGCGGAGGGGCAGCTTCTGCACAGGGCTCCAGTGTTGGAATGGTGCAGGCATAAGAGGGGGCGTATTCACGCCCACAGATGTGGGTTTGGTCTTGTTCCCAAGTGTAGGCAAGCGATACAGGATGGGTGTGTGCATGTGAGTGTGGCAGGTGACATGGTGCAATTCCTGTGTGTGGAGACAGGAAATAGATTTAAAGAAAAAGAGCAACACCTGAATAAGGACAGCAGCCTCAAATGGGAAGAATGCCAGGCCTTGTCTCTTCTTTTGGGGCTGGCTGTGCTCCAGAGTAAGGGGGGAGGCAGGGCTCATGCCATCAGTTCTCTACTTCCTCATCATCCCAATTCTATTCTGAGGCTCTCAGGGAGGGAGGAGTGGCTCAGGGCCTGGGATGGCCACCTGAGCCCATGCAAGGGCACTGGGAACGGCTGGCAGCTCCCTCCCCTTGAGATGCTTGGTGTCTCCTCCCACCCCCAAACTGGAGAAGGAGGGTTGATCCCAGACTGAGAGTGCAGGGCCAGAGGGGAAACCTCTCCTTCTTCCATCTCCTCTCTCTTTGCCCTATCCCTTCTTTCTACAGTCCTGTCTACAGTCCTGTCTAACCTCCCTTGACAGGTTCTGTCCTTCCAGAGGATGAGGTATTTGAGACCAGAGGTAAGCCCATGGGCTTTGCTGACAAGCCTGTTTCCCTGTTCCCTGTTATTTTCCTCTAAGTTTTTTTTTTTTTTTTTTTGAGAGAGAGTCTCACTTTGTTGCCCCAGTAGAGTACCCTGATGTCATAGTTCACAGCAACCTCAGACTCTATTTTTTAACAATTTGTTGTTATTGTTTTTGCCGGGGTTTTTTTTGGCTGGGGCTGGGTTTGAACCCTCCACCTCTGGCATATGAGGCTGGCGCCTTACTCCTTTGAGCTACAGGCACCACCCTTCCTCTAAGTTTTTATGAGCTGGGGGAGGACCCCAGGAAGGTGTTAGGGAGGGCCGGAAAGGCAAAAGTCAGCATCCCATTCCAGTGTATTCCTCCCTACCTAACAGTGGCCCAGATAATTTCCTCCATTTCTCCAGTAATCCCTGAATATTTGATGCAGAATCAGGGTGAGACCAAAGGGGCAGAGAATTTGCCTTTTGCCCTGACCTGGAAGACCTTGTGTCCTCTGATGCCTTGCTTGGGGTGCTGCCTTCTCCCAGTTTCCTGAGGCCTTGCACAGGTCCTTGGGCTGTTAGGGGTCCAGGCTGCTAGCCTTTAGCAAAGGAAGGCATGTTTCCCCACTACCTGATTGCCCTTATCAAGCAAGTGTGGAAGGCATGGGAAGCATGTGCACATTGAGGCAGCTTCCCCTCTGGGAAGTGGCTAGCACCCCATACCTTTTAATCCGCCCACTTGCATGTGCCTCTAGGAGCCTTGCCTGGAGTTCAGAGGCCTGGATTCTCTTGCTGGTTCCTGGGCAGATCCCTTCTCTTCCTCAGAGAGTGGACACTGGGAGAAGCAGGCAGTTCCTGCTCAGCTCCCACCCTAGTTGACCTTGATTCAGCCCCTCAACAGCCACGTCCCTGGTGTCTCTCCCTCCTCCTTTGTGCTTCAGAAAGACTAAGACCATGGTCTGGGGCAGAGTTAAAGGTAGGAGCTACAGGCCCATATTCAGTGGGACCATTTTACCCTGGCCCACACTTTCTCCAGTTGGCACTACAGGTCCCAGAAAAGGCTGGCTTGCCCCCCACCCCCTGGCCCCGTTGTCTCCCATCCACATGATTTTCCTGGTGGAACCCCCTCCTCTTAGTCTTTTATCTCCTCTTCTCAGTAGCTCTCACCTTCTAATTCTTCCGCACCTCCTCCCCTGTGGCCAGTCCTTACACCTTACTTTCCTTGGACAATGTGAGGTGAGCAGGAACCCAGAGAGTTGCTGGTGGGAGTGGGGTACAGAGTTGTTACCCCCTTATTCCCTAGAAAGAGCCTAAATCCTCCTCTAGAGGGACTTGAGTGTCTTTGCCCCCAAGGAGAAGAGAAGAAACAGGGAGGAGACAGGGCTGTCCTCCCAGGCTTTACAACAAAGCTCTGTACAGAAACTGAAGTGCAGAAACAGAAGCAGGGCTCCAGCTTTACAAAATAAAGTGTTTGTTTATTATGAAATTAGAGATGGAGGCCCCTCCCCTTCCTCCCTTTTTCCCCTTCCCCAGCTGCCTCCCCCTTTCTCTGCTCCCCTGGGGCCTGGGAAGCACACAAGACAATGCCCAGAGCTGGGATGCCCAGGGCAGGCTGACAGCTGGGCAGAGCTCCAGGGAGGTGGCCACGTGGGAGGCTGGAGCTCTCGCCCTGGGAGGCGCTGGTTCCCTCTCTCTGCTGGAGGCCAGTGGAGCCAGGATGAGGCCATGAGTGATGGATGGAACCATGCGGGCAGGTCTGTAAGGACAGTAGAGCTGGTCAGAGGCAGTGAATGGGGAGGGGCTTCAGCCACCCCTTGCCCCACAGTCTGGAGGCACTGACCTGGGGCAGAGCATCCCCTGCAGGAGGGTGGGCAGCAGTGCTGGAAGTTTCTCTTGATTTGGGGGATGGACAACAGAAAAAAACCAAAAGCCAGTCACAGGGACCCAGAGAAAGAAGGGAGATGTGGGCAGGAGACAGAAACAGAGCATGTGTGTGTGCAAGGCAGACCGAACAGTGTGTGTGAGAGAGATTTCCAACTGCAGAGACAGACAGCCACAGAGAAAGGAGAGGAATCACAGTGAGAGGACACAGGCTCAGCATCAGAGCCACAAAACCTAGACCAGGACATGGGGAGAGTGTCACAGACACAGACAAGGATCCCTGGAGAGAGACAAACAGACGGACTCAGGAGGACAGGGAGGGAACAGCCAGGGTGCCCTGGGGAAGGAAGAAGGGACACAGGGAAAGGAAGAAGCCTGGGCCCTTGGGCTGCTGCCACCTGCCTGGACCCCGTGGGGCTCACTCAGAGGGCCTGTGCCACCCCTCTGTGGTACTCAGGGGGCTGGGGGCTCCTTTGCCCCATACAGCTCAGCCAAGGTGCGGAAGAGGGGACCCCAGTCGTCCAGCGGCTCTGCCGGGCCAGGAGCTCCGCCGGCTTCGCTGCTGGATCCCAGGGAGCTGAGGGAGCCGCAGGAGGAGCCCCGGCCCTCGTAGCCATACACCTGCACCGAGTCGTAAGGGGGCACGCTGGGGTCCTCATCCGCTTCGCGGAGCCTCAGTGCCAGGAGCTGGGCCACGTCGGCAGGGCCCGGTGGCCTGGGCTGGCGCGGAGCCCGGGCCCGGGGCAGCACGTCGCGGCGCACGGGAGGGCTGGGTGCTGGCGGGGCCGCCCCATCAGGGTTCTGCAGGG